AGGTTGTATTTGCCATCTAGTCTGCTGACTATTACCTAAACCACTCTCCTGTCAGCGCTTTCTACTGCTTTGCCCTGGGAAGCCCAACCCTGTCTTTCAGTGCTGACCAACCTTCCTTCTGGGTGGTTCTTGTTCACGTCTTCCCTCCTCCCTGTCAGCATCTAACCAAACATTTTTCATATCCTTGTATTGAAAGGGCTCTAATTATAACCAGTTCATACCTCTGTCTTATATTTCACCTGATGTGTTACAACTATTTTTTGTCCACCTGCTCCTTCTGTAAGCTCCTGAAAAGTCTTATTAATTTTTACATTTCTAAAACCAATAACAGTACCGGCTTATGTTGTGTATTATTATATTGTATGCTTAATAAAAGTTTCTTTATTAAATCTTATTTTTATCCTCAACAGCTATGTGAGGCTTGCTATGTATATGAAGTTCAAGGTTATCAAAAGATTTTTTTTTCTTCCTAAGCCTCCTTCCTAGTAAGTGACACACACAGCTAGGACGTTTTACGGAGGCTTTTGTCCTACTTAGCATTGTGTTACCACTTTCCTCAAATCTTCTTACCACTTTCTCTCCAGAAACCAATCTTGCCTCAAGTCACAAATAAATATGAGGTTGTAAACTCTCTTAACTTTGTCCAAAATTTCTAAAATTCTTGGTTATCTGTGCTCATTCTTAGCTTGTCCCTACTAGCTTGAGATGAAGAGATATACCTTTGCCTGTTTGAGAACCATTCTCCCTTTACCAAGTTTATTATGAAAATTTTCAAACTATTCTTTAGAAAGATAGAATAGTAAAATTCATGTGCATACACCCATTGTCTATATCTAATAATTGTTAACATTTTGCCAGCTGTTTCACCTGAAGTTATAGATTACATGATGCTTCATACAAAACTACCTCAGTTTACATCTCAAAATATTTCCTACCATTTTCCTATAAAATGTATTACAATCATTATATTCAACAAAAGGAATAGTAACTCCTTAATATTATAAAATGCTCATATGCAGATTTGTCCAATTATATCCCAAAAATGTCTTACAGTTGATTTGTTCAAAAATGGATCCAGCCAATGACATTTGGATATTGTGTCTCCTGAGTCTAGAACAGTTTTCTCCTCTTTTTAAATATCATTGATATGTTGAAAAGACTTTACGGGTTGTCCTGTAGAATACCTCACCTTCTGGACTATTTTTATTTCTTCCAATGGCATCATTTAACTTGTTTTTCCATGCCTTTCATGTATTCTGAGAGTTAGTTTTAAAGAGGTTAATACATTCATGTTAAATATTTTGGTTGACAAAATTGCATAGGAGCTGCGGCTTACTTCATGTCTCATTACATCTGGAAAAATCAGATGTTGAGGGTAATCTACTTTTTTATGATACTAAGTTTGATCACTTAGTTAAGGTGAAGACATTGAATCCCTCCATTGTATTATAGAAGAATCTCAACCTCCTTGCAGCTATGAGGGCTCCTAAGGCATCATGGGATATCTTGTTTCACCTGATAGTTATAGAACCCACTGATGATCCCTCATCTCAGGTTCTTGAAACATTGTTTCCTTTATTCTCTAGGATTTTGCTCCATTTCAGTTTCCTTCCTGTATTTTCATCAATCCTCTCTAGATGATTTATCTATAAACATATGTAGGACTTTGTTAAATAGTTATCCTTCTCTAGTAATCATTCTCTCCTTCATTTTGCCCCAAGACCATCAAAAGGACAGTCAACGTGCTATCTCCATTACTTCATTTCCAAATTATTCTTAATCCCACTCACTCTTTATCTTTTCCTGGATGATCCTATTCACTCCCAAGACTTCTGCTACATATGCAAGTATCATAAAACTATGCCTCAAACTCTGAATTTCTCCACCATACTTTCTGGATAGCACTTCACCTGAAATTATAGGTTTTGTCATGTTTCATACATAATTACCTTAGTTTACATCAATCAAGACTAAAGGAGATTGCCCTGCCCAATTTCCCAACACTCACCTCTTCTGGTTTGCCCTAGCTCGCTGAAGAGTGCTTCTTGCTCAATCAGCTTTTTTAACTTTTAAAAAATTTTATTAAATTTATTGGGGTGACATTGGTTAGTAAAATTATACAGGTTTAAAGTATACAATTCTATAATACATAATCTATATCTTGCATTGTGCGTTCACCATCCAAAGTCAGTTCTCCTTCCATCACTATATATTTTACCCCTTTTACCCTCTTCTACCAACCCCCTCCTTCCTTACCCCCTGTTAACCATTAAACTGTTGCCTGTGTCTATGAGTTTTTGTTTGTCTTGTTCATTTGTTGCTTTCAGTTTTATATCCCAAATATGAATGAAGTCGTATGGTTCTCGACTTTTTCTGTCTGACTTATTCCACTTAGCGTGATAATCTGAAGATCGATCCATGTTGTTGCAAATGGCAGTATTTCATCTTTTCTTATGGCCAAGTAATATTACATTATATATATATACCACATCTTCTTTATCCACTCATCTATCGAAGGATGCTTTGGTGGTTTCCATGTCTTGGCTATCGTGAATAAGGCCACAGTGAACATAGGGGTACATATATCTTTACAGATAAATGTTTTCAGATTTTGGGGGTGGATACCCAGAAGAGGAATTGCTAGGTCATATGGTAATTCTATTCTTAATTTTTTTTTGAGGAACCTCCGTACTGGTTTCTGCAGTGGCTGTACCGACTTACATTCCCACCAACAGTGCATAATGGTTCCCTTATCTCCACAGTCTCTCCAACATTTGTTATTATTTGTCTAGTTGATAATAGCCATTCTAACAGGTGTGAGGTGGAATCACAAACGACCCCAAATAGCCAAAGCAATTCTCAATCAGCTTTCCCCTGCTGCTTCTGTACCTCACACCCCCAGCTTGGAAGACCACAGTCTTCTCTCAGCTCCTTGTGATTTAACCTGCTCTGCTCACTGTTCCTTATGCCTGGAATGCCTTCCTTCTTGCTTTCACTTGCTGCTGAACTTTCAAAGCTGAGAGGATGCATCACCTCCTCTATGGTGCTTTTCCACAAAGGAGGGAATGACCCTTTGCTCAATTTTGTGTCTACTCTGCTTTGTGCACTATGCTGTCAAAGCATGCAGAATATATATTGCATATGCTTTTTTTGCTTTGCCTTCCTCATTCTCTTTAAATGCTCTGAAGACCTGAGTTTGGTCTTTTCAGTTCATCACTGTCTTTTATCAATCATCAAGTAGGCCTTTAGTAAATGTTTATATTCATGACCTGCTTGCTTTTATTATGGCCAGTGATTTTTTTGGAGGTCATATGTCTTGTGGGGGGTGGTGATTAGAGAAATCTTTGCATCTTCTTTTCCTCTACTGAGGAATTTAATATTATGCCCACTTTAATAAAGTCTCTAAGAGAAGAGAAGTGGTTTCTGCCCATATCCTACTCCTTGTTATGTGTGGTTTTTTTGGGTTTTTTTTTTAAGGAGGTAGATGAATGCCTAGTTTAGACAAAGTAGATAGTGGTAAATTTAGCCTGTGTTTCAATGAAATATGACCAAAAAATGCCATAAACAGTCTCCCTTAAAGGTTTTAATTTATAAAGAGGATGATGTTTTTAGGTTATGTAAAGTATATGTCTTTAATTCAAACTCAAACTCATTCGATTACATCTTTAAGAGCTAGAAAAATTTTAAATGTGAATACCTACGTATAGATTAGATATCCTTACACCAGACTTCAGTTTTCACTGATTTTATAAGTTAGCTTCACTTTTTTCTTTCCTGCTTTATGGACTGCCATTCACTACCACCAGCAACTATTCTGCTCTTTACTTCTCCACTTGTCAATTCAATACTTATCCCATTTTGTGCTATGGTAAGTTCATTGTTAGCTAACTTTAGGATTGGTTTCTGTCTCTTTGTGGAGAATATGTACTGTGTAAAATTTTACTTTCTGCTGCTGTGTCTTTTATGTTGCCTGATCTTGATTTTTATTTTCGTTTATGTGCCCTGCCCTGACCTATGACTTTTTACCCAGTTTCCTCCCTCCTAACCTGCTGACTATATCTACATCTTACATCTATACAATGACCACCTGCTTTGGGATTCATCCACTAACCCCAACAGCTGGCTTCATTCTGTTTTTGTTTTTGTTTCCTTTTAGTCCTTAACTAGTTCCTTGAATTATTGGGTCATCGGGAAAGTCATGATGCATTTTTGCATTGAAAAACAGAAAAATATGTCATGACTTTCCCGATGACCCAATATATAGAAGTATTAATTGCTTCTCAAGTGGGGCTCTCACAGAGCCCCAAGCGCATTCCTCTTACAGTATCTTCTTTTTATCACTTTTTAGATACAGAGAAGTCTTTCTTTTCTTGTGCCTACAATTAAAGAGATTGTGCAGGTCTGCACTTGTCAGTTATTATGGCCATATTCTGTCTTCTCATGAAATCTGTTCTTTGGCAAGCATGCATCTTAACTCATTCTTTCCCTTCTCACTATTGAGGCCTAAATACATTAAAATCATTTTACATTTATGCTAATGGTGTCATGCAGGTGACCTGTGACTCAAGCCACTTCCTTAAAACAACAAAACGTGTTTCCTCAATGGTGTCCTTAGAAGGCCCTTTTCAACTCAAGATTTTTCTTGACTGAAAAATCTTGGGTTGAAAAGTGGCTTCTATTTTTGGAACTCAGAGTGACAAATACTATATTTCTGTTACTCTACCATTTAAGACTTTTACAGTTTCCCAGAGGAATGTCCCATCCCTCTCATCAAACCTCATGTGTAAGAAAAGAAGACATACTGAGTTCAATATGTAGAAGTAGATCAGAACTCAATAGAATCAAACGCCTGTTTCTAATTAGGCTATTGCAGTAGTTATGCTTGGACCAGGGTGGTAGCAAAGGTAGTCTGAGAAATGTTTACTTATGGAAAGTAAAGCAATCCATCCCTGAAACTGTGCTAACTGTTCCTATTCTCTACATTTTCTCTTTTTTTTTAGTTTCGCTATTCGAATTGGCTTGATAGGTTGTATATGGTGCTGGGGACTTTGGCTGCCATCGCCCATGGAGCTGGACTCCCCCTCACAATGCTGGTGTTTGGAGACATGACAGATGCCTTTGCAAATGCAGGCAAGCCAGGAAACATAACTTTTACAAACATAACTAATGAAAGTAAGTATTGTTTGTGATACTGGTTTTATTGGAAGTTTGAAGAAAAATCAGTCATCTACAGTGATGTTTGTAGAGCCCTTAACTAAATATGCACTAGTGTGGTTAGTGCAGTGGGAAGTGGAGGGGTCTGAGTTATTGTTCACATTTGTAATAAGTTTGAGAAGATAATGTTCACAAGCATTAAAATGCACAGTGGAAGTCCTGGCTGAGATATGTAGAAAAAGAGCGAGCCCTGTGAATTCAGAAATATCCCAGGAAGTTTCAGGAAGAGGTATAGAAACCTAATCTGGACCTTGAATGATAATTAGGGATCAGTTGTGAGATTCTCTGATATTGGATATGAGTGTAAGAGACAGGAGTCCTGAATGATTTTAAAGGTTTTAGTCTGAGAAGCTGGATAAACTGGATGCAGTTATCATTAACTCAGATGAAGAAGGTGGCGAGGAGAGTGGGTTTGGCCGTAAATACCAGAAATTTAACTTTGGATGTTGTCACAGGTTGGGCTCTTTGGAAACATGCTAAAATGGAGAAATTGGGCTAAGAGACATTTTTGTTTGTTCGTTTTGTGTGTGTGTGTATTTAGGATGGGAGAAATAATAGTTTGTATGTTAATGTAAAGAATCCAAAAGAGAGGAGAAACTGGTGCTTTGAAAGAGAGGGAAGAGATTTGCTTGAGTGATATCCATGAGACAGGGTGGGATCTAATGCTCAAGAAGAAGTATTTGCTTTAGGTAATAGTACTAATAGTTCATCTACAATAACAGGTGGGAACAGAGAGTATTTGAGTGCCAATGCCCAAAGGTGGGTAGATGAGGAGGTGAGAATTTGTGAAAGTCTTCTTTTGGTTGCTTCACTTTTCAGTGAAGTAGGAAGCAAGACATTTGGCTGATAAAGAAAGGAAGTCTAAAATAATCCTCTAGGAGAGCGGGAAAGTGAATGGACTGTTGAAATTTGGGTGTCACATACACTCTGACACTCTCACACTTGATTGAGGGACTAGTTGATAGCTTTGAGCTTACAAGTCAACTTTGGTCAAACATAGATTGATTTAAACTAAGCTACCCAAAGGCTTACAACCTGGTGCATAGGAGTAGAAATCTTGAAAATGCCTCTGAGGATACACTTGAGAATACAGTGATACCGTGTAGCTTTTACAATGACCCTTTGACTTTTGGACCAGTAAGTCTTTCATGAATGCTATGAATCTTTTCTCCAATAACATGCACATAAGTATTCATACTAATTTGGGGTATTTATGGATCCTTTGATACCTGTCTGTGGGTCCTGAGAACCTCTTTTTTGTGATCCGGAAGAGCATGTATTTTTACCCTAAGGCAGGTAAATAAGTTCAGTGACTGCAGTTAATAAGTTAGGTCAGAAAACTTCACAGTAGGTTTGAGCTATATAAAATCCTTTTGCATTTATTTCGTCCCTTCATGGAATTCAACGGTACCTGCCAAAAGGTTGTATCACCTTTGAATTGGCACCTTTCTTTTATACCAATTCACCAAAAGGAAGTTCTTAGTGCTCTCTGAATTCATTGTTTCCTACGTATACTATATTTAGCAGTATTATTTGGAGTTAGTCCTTTGACTAAAAGTGGAAGTATCGAAATTTTCAGTGCTCTTTGGTAGCTCAGCAGACCTTGTGTGTACATCATATGTCCATTCGGATCCCACCCACTTTTTAATTTAAAAAAATTTTTTTCAATTACCATTGACATACAATATTATATTACTTTCAGGTGTACAAAAGAAAATAGTGATTAGGGCTGGCTGAGTGGGCGTTTGTTAAGAGCTGGCTTGGGACGCCAGAAGGCCCCGATTCGGATCCCACATATGAGGGCCAGTGACACTGCCTTTTACAGCTAAGATGCTGAACAACAGCTCAACCTGGAGCTGGGCTGCTGTGAGTCGCCGGCAACAGCGTAGGCTGCAGCCCCTGCTACAGCAGGTTGCCATGGGCTACCATGTGTAGCCAGCAGCTGCCATGAGGGGCCATCCAGAAGCCGGTGACTGATCTGCCTCACCCGGGAAGAGTGCAATGATGGTGCCAACTTGGGCCAGTGAAGCAACGTCCTCCACAACTAGACTGAAGAACAAAANTTTAATTCAAAGATACCAATATTCCTGCTGACAGACTGCTTCTTAATAAATGTGGGTTTCTTCTTATAAATAAGCTCCATTGAATTAGTATGTATGTGGTTGCAGATATCCAGCAATGAAGAATTTGAATGGAGGCTATAATGTTACAATTAAAACTGAATCAGTTTGAGATACTTTTGTGTAAATTGTTAAGTGACAGAAGTTTGATTCATTTCTATATGCTTTTTTAAAATAGGGAACAAAGAGACATAATGGTATATTTTTGTTTTGTGGTGATCTAGGTTCCATCAACCTTACATATGTCTTCGACCTGGAGAAGGAGATGACCACGTAATTATACATTTTCCTTACTATTATTAAGCTTTTCTGTATCAATCTAATTGTGGCGGTGTTTAAAATTTTACATACAATAAAGATTTAACGTTTTGAGGAGAACAATACAATTGTTAGTTTCCCAGGAGCATATAATGTACAATTTTTTTAAAGAAAATAATTTGTCACATAAGATGCACTTAAATTAGGGTTAAGCCTAGATTAAATTTATGTATGCATTGGTAAATTTAAAATACATACAGGGAAATTAGAGTTCATAGGTGCCTTTTAAAATTACAATTATATTTAGAATCACAGCATTTTCAGTAGCTTTGTAATTATTAGTTTGCTTCCTGGATATTTTCAGTAATGATAGGATAATGAGATCAGTCTACAGGATTTTTTTGTTAACAAGCATATCATTCTAAACAGTGAAAAAACATCCCAGAATAAATATAGTCACTCTAACTCACCTCAGGGAAACTTTTGTTAATGATTTACATATCTTGAAGCTTGCTCCCTAGAACAGTTTATAAAAGATGTCCAAAACCATGAGTTGGTGAATCAGAAAATCATGATTCTGAATTATCCTATAAGTGACCTGGTAGATTTGAAGAAAATTGAGACATTTGATCATTTTTTGAAAGATGAGAAGCAAGTACTTCAAGTATTCTTCTGGAAAGGCTTTTTTTTTTAATATTGGGAAAAATAACACTGTCCTATAATCATCTTATAAATGCTTAAACATAAATATATTTTGTTGTGTAAACATAGACTGATGGTTAAAAATGAATTAACTGATTCTCAAAGCATGAGTTCTACTTGTTAAATAGGATTTCTTTTCAGCTATCTCTTGCTAGATCATTAATACTTGGATAATAAGTAACCACTGAGTTATCTATTAACTGAAGTATAGTAATTTAATTACACCTTCCCTAATAAACATTGTAATTTACAAGGTATAGCTCTAGGAGGACATGTTTAGCAAGATTCCTGCTGAGTGAAACACTGAATTGTAGGCAGTAAGATAAGCGACTATCTGGTTATTATGTAACGATTTTTATAGCTTTTGTATGGTTCATACAAACATTTTTATTTGAAGATGGCAAGTAATGAGCTCTAAAAAAATGAGAATATTAATATCGTATATTTCATTTTGGAATATGTCTTTAACTAAACATTAATTGATTAGTAAAATCTAAGAGTTCTTTTTATTCTTAAACAGGATGACTCTGAGTGAGAAAACATAAATTCTAGATGATCAAGGGTCTGGTTTTAGAAGATGCTCATGTCTTTTGCTTTTAGAGTTTAAACCAGAAGGACTGCTGTTTGATTCCTTAAGCCTTTTAGGATAACTCATGATGACAAGTTGGGCGTATGATATAAAAATACTTTTTTATTTTCAATTGTCTCTTGGCATCCCAGGTCTGCAAGATTAATAGCCCAAGAGGCCAGGGGACCATTTCCATCTCTTGGTTCCACTTTCTCGCAAGTTCTGTCACTTCTTTCCATTTGCCAGTGTGCAGAAAACACCTGCAAAGTGCTCATCAAATAATACCGAGGTCATACAAGTAGATAGGACAACAATGGTAGATCTTAACTGATGTTGTGATGTTCTAAGGCANGAGTCCTAAACCTTGAGGAAAGACTCAAATGTTAACAATAGCTAAAGTTAACATTTATTGACCATTTAAGATGTGCTGGGCACTGTTCTTAATGCTTTGTGTGTATTAGCTCTTTTTCTCCTTTCAAGCACATGAGGCTGATACTACTATCATCATCTGTATATACTTTACATATGAGGAAACTGGGTCATCATATGTAAATCCAAACTGGTTGAGTAAATTTAAATTTCCTGAGGTCATAGAGTTAGTCAGTATATAAATTAGTCAATATGTAATAAACGCATGTAGACTGGCCTCAAGTATATGCACTGAAGGACACAGAGGAACACCCAGGAAAGAAGACACTGAGTATAACATGCTAATCCAGAAATTAAAGGACATGGGGGAGATTTGCCAAGTCTCATGGTGGTTAGCACTCAGAGATACTCTTTATAAAGTTCTTGATTATTTATTGTCTCTAATGATTGAATTTATGACCTTTCTCTTTCTCTCTATTATGATTGTTCCTGCCTGGTCTCCTGCCATATTGTAGGCTGAGGAAGGGAGAAAACGAGACACTGAAATTCAGATAAAAAGGGAAAAAGTGGAAATAACTTATTTCCATATTTATCATTTCTACTCTCACTGCTCTAAATCTTATATGAGGAACTTGAAAATTGTGTGTAAAATGCCAGTTCTTGAAATAATAGCTATGTTTTGTTGCTTGAACTATGAGTTCATAAATCGTGCGCAGATCGTGAGTGTGTATGTCAAGACTTTAGTGTTGTAAACAAAGTAAACATTGCCATCGGATTCCCCAAGGCCGGCCTTATGA